TCAAAAATTGACTATGATTTATTCTTTTGGAAATGCTTGTTTATTCATATTTTTCATTTAAAAATTTTTGGCTTTACTTTTATGACATTTATATTTCTTTCTATATTAAATATTTATCTTTTAAAAGTGTTTAATTTTTTTTACTCATTTTTTAATTGACTTTTTTTTTTACTCATTTTAAAGTTTTATTTAGTAGCCACTTCATATTGTTATATAAGTACTTTACATATCCAAATCTTTTCCTTCGTGCTTACTTCTTCTATTTTCATGTTTATAGAGCTCTTCTACGTTTAGAGAACTCTCCAACATTAGGTGCATTTACCTAAATTCACTATAATTTTTAAAATATGATAACATCTGTTCTATTTTATTTTAGATTATATTGTGAGCATAATCTAATTGGCATCTTTAGTATTGAAGAATGTGCATACTTATATTTCTATAAAAAATAACCTTTCCTCACTAATTGAATATTACTTCTGAATATTCCATTCTGTGCTTGATTTGTGTGTCTAGTTTGCTCTAATATCACAATGGTTGAGTATTTTATAGTACATTTTACTTTCTGACAGAGCAAATCTTACCACTATTCTTTAGAAGATCTTTGGATATTAATTTGCGACCAATCTTTCATTTGAAATTCAGGGATATTTATCATATTAACAAAAAAACAGGTATTTTAAATTTATTTAAACTTTGAATTGAAATAAGGATTAACTGACATCTCTAAAATTGAGAAATTCTATCCTTGTGTAATGTGTGCCTGTATTCATTCATGTTTCATTCTGTATTCATATGAAAAGTTTTTAATGGATTCGTTTCAATAGATCTCGACTAGAAATTGTTAAATGTATATCTGGAAGTGTTTTGAGCTTACTAATTTAAATTTCCCATTTCTCAACCACTTTCCATCTACCTCACACACGTGTGTTGTGCTCCCCTAAGGATTTCACATATCTCATGCCTCACACTGTCCTCTTGCTTTCCTCATTTGTAGGCTGTTCAGTCTAAGAGTTTACTCTTAAACTTTCAGAGTCCTACGCATATTGTCCTACTCTGTCAAATCACTGCTCTGTGGAGTTTGTCTCTTCTACAGGGTCCTTCTGTTTCCCCACTGATGACTAGTGATGTCCCCTTCTGTCTCTTTCCAACCATGGATACATCTGCTCTGTAGCGGTGCTATCATATCCTTTGGGAATGTTACTGCATTATGTTTTGACACCAATTCTTTCTACCTTGCTAATAAAGATGCATCAAGGGAAATGAGCAACTTTCCTGAGACATGAAGTGAAGAAGCAAAAAGTTGGTATCAAATTCCAAAAGGTTTCCATGATGGAAAGTTAAAAGTAGAGTGGAATGGTTGGGAAAATCATCTCAGGAATCACAGAGGTTTTGGGGGAAGGACAAAGGAAGTCACCTCATTGAGCATTGAGAGAGGATGAATCAGTGCACGGAAGTAGAGTCAGTTAATTGTGTCAAGTTAGTTTTAGGAGAACTGTGGGTACTTTGCTGGAGAATGAGTGTTTCTAGAACCTTATTTCGCCATGATTTAAATCCTATCTTCTCATTACACATAGTTATACTATATTTTGTGGTCATTGGACTCAACATCCTATTAAAAACAAGTATACTTACGCTACAGACACATTTTATTTCATTTTAATTTTTTCAGGCTGAAGTGCAATGGGACAATCACAGCTCACTGCAGTCTCAAACTCCTGAACTCAAGCGATTCTCCTGTCTCAGCTTCCCAAGTAGCTGGGACTACAGATGTGTCACCATGCCAAGCTAACTTATTTATTTATTCACTTTAGAGATGGGTGGGGAGTCATTCTGTTGTCCAGGCTGGTCTCAAACTCCTGACCTCCAGTTATCCTCCTGCCTCAACTTCTCCAGTAGGTGGGATTACAGGTGTCAGCTGCCATGCCCAGCCACAGACACAACTTAATCATGAGGGATTATAAGAAGAGGCTATCTCTACACATTTTTAAATGTGCATGGGCACTTTTGTGAGGAATTGCCTTTTCAAATGAAAGCTGCCTACTGTCCTAGAAAGGTGTTCAGGACTCAGCTAGCCTATGTAAAACTAAACGTTTTATTTTCCAATGACTGACTTTCTAAAAAGCTGTGAAACTATTAATATCTCATTAAAACCAGCAGGAAAGAAACTGATTTAGAATAATTATGAGTTGGATGTTTTCTTCGAGCCTATCTACCCAATCAACCTGATTATGATCTTTGTGATCGTTAAGACTGTTGTATATCATTAAATAGAAAAACAAACTGTATTTTTAAATAATCTCTTACTAATGTGTGTGGAAGACATATCCTTGATGTGGAAGATTCTTTATTGCCCAACACACCCGCTCATCTTCCTCAGTGTAAATGCCTCTATGGCAACTATTTATTGGTTGTCCCTCAGTGCTACCCCATTCTTCTATATTTTGCAAATTACCATTTTTTTTAAACTCTCTTGCCTTCTGGCTTTCGATACTCGTTAAGCACTGGAAAAAAGGATGTAAGACAAGGTGCTTCTCTTCTGTTTCTAGCTCCTGCTGGCATTTCCCAGCAGCAGCAGACAGCTGTGGCTCCAGCCTCCAGCTTCCTTGAACACTTTTAATACCAATTTTGCTGTGTTCCCTTCCAGCACATCCACACCAATCCTCTGGGTAATCCTGGTACTACCTGTGGCATGCTCCCACACTTACTGGGTATACGCAATGTATCACCGAATCAACCCTCAGGCCACTCCCACTTCCAGAAGGTTCTAGCATTGGAATTCCAGAGTTTCTTCTCTGATCTCCTCGTTTCTATTAACACCACATTTTCTCCATCCATTGCAGATCTAAGCAGAGTAGCCATTCTCCTGAATTATACGTATGTGTTTCCCTGGCATCCCTTCTGTGCTTTCTCAAATTTTCACAGTCATGTGGCAATTTCCTGTATTAAACCAGTTCTGTTTGAAATAACTGCCATTACTTTTGTTTTATTGGCTTACCCTTGAGAGTTAGAGCCTCTGAAATACAGAAGATAACACTGAATATTGACTTCCATGATCTGTGGGAGAAACAGAATGCTCAGCATAAGATGGAGTAACAGAAGTGGTACTCTGGTAGAGATTCAGGATTGACACATGTTCTCACTTAGAAGCTAAACAGTGGGTACACATGGACATAAAGATGGAAATGAGAGACACCAAGGACTCCAAATGAGGGAGGGTGAGGGGGAGGTTAGTGTTAAAAAACGATTTATTAGGTACAATGTTCACTGTTTGGAGGATGAGTATACTAGAAGCCCAAACCTCACCATCACACAATATATCTACATAACAAACCTGAACATGTACCTGTTGAATCCATTTTTTAAAAAAGCGTTTGGTTTGAGAAACAGAAAGTAGAATCAATAGAAGGAGTATGAGACTGGCAGTCTAGGAAAGAGATTTGGGAAGAGATATCTAAAGGTGATATTGGGGTGGAATGTGATTCTCGCTAAATGCTTTTTCAAAAATTAAGATATATCTGAGGGTTGGGTATTGGTTTACATGGGGAACAGAAAATATCTACTATATGGGTTGCCTTCTGTTAGTAAAAATTCGTACTTGTCTTGGCACTCAGTGAGAGTTGTCTTATGACTTCAATTGTCATTGATCTGTTCAATGTTAAAGGATGTCTTAGAAAATTGGTCCTAATTTACAAAGACACCCTCATAGGCTACCAATCTGGTTTTAGTGCTATTATAATTTTTTTGTGGCTGAGGAAACAGAAATTCCATAACCCTGACTTGGTATAACTTTTTCTCTTTCCTGTGATGTATTCAAAAGGCACATATACATAATAGACAATGATGAATGGGAATTCAGAATATCAATTTATTATTATCGGCTGAGTTTATGCTTAAAACTCAAGTGCAGATTTCTCTGTAAGCTAAGTAAGCATTCGTGGCCTAGTCAGAAGGCCTAAGGGACTTTACCCTCTTGCTAAAGCCAACTAAAAATCTAGAAACCTTACCAGTCTCCTGCAAATTACATGTGACTGGACAACAGCAATATGGGTGTATGCACATGTGTGAAAAGAGGAACAGAGAGAGCAAGATGTTCAGTTTTAACATGTGGGAGTTCAGGCCCAACGTCAACCTAAATCTTCATTTACATGGAAAAAATAAGAGGAAGGATAAAATGACAGGAGAATCATTTTTTATGTTTATGACCTCCTAACACAAAGTGATCCTGCCACTTGTCAGTGTTGTGGCGTCAGACCCCAAAATAATAGGATTCATAGCTTTTGGAAAGGAACAAGATTTAAAAGATTATTTATGTAACATCAAGAGTGTATCTTCCCACAGATGACACATGGCTTAGTCATCTATTGTTAAAGGTGAATACTTACATATTCTACTTTATTAATTAAAAAAGTCACAGTCTTTTCAAGGGCCATATAGGACTATTATAAAACCATTAATAAAGAAAATAGATCATGCAGACTCAGTATTAATTCTTTTAATCATTAGTAGGCAAGTCATTTTATTTGTCTGAGTGTCATTTTTCTCATCTACAACATGTAGATCATAATATATACTTCCCAGGGGTGCTCTAAAGTTTAGATGAAGTCACATTTTTAAACAGTAGCACACAGTGCAGATATAAATAATTAACATATTAAACTCAGCTCATTTACTTTTCATGAATCAGCTTGACAGGCTGGAGGCCTGGAGTGAGCAATATGGCCAAGGAAAAGACAACTTGGTGGCCACTGACATTCATTTTGCATTAGTCTTTGATTTTCAAGGCCCATCATCAGCAAGTTTCAAGCTTCAAAGAAATGGAAGAAATGCAGTTGATTTACACTCTTGGCAAATGTCCTATAATAAACAGGGCCTGTGAACAAAGCATTCCACTTCCTTTCCTCCTTCTTCAACCCCTAGAAGCAGGACATAAGCCCCTAGAGGGTATATGTCACTGATGAAGAGACTGGTGGAAGAAAAGAAAAAACTTAGAAGCAAAATAAATCACTCAGGAGACTTTTATTGATAAATGGATCTTGAAAAGAGAGACAATGTGAGAAAGCACCACCATTGTGGAAATTCCTGTTTGCTATCACTCCTGCAGAAAGGAGAGAGAATGAAAACATCAGATTCAACTTCTGGTCTCAAATGTACATGCAAACTCCTGAGCTGCATGGAGAACAGACTGATTGCTCTGTATGCAAAGGTTTCCACGTGGTGAATAGTGAAACTGACTTAAGTTTTAACTTGCCTTTCCTACCTAGTCACTCTGGGTGATTTTTAGGTCTTCTCTTTAACCCATTCGCCTGTGAATATCTTCAAGGTATGCTCACCAAATTTAGATGTGTGCCACTACATTAAAAATGAGAAATAATTGTATTTTATTAATACACTCAAAGCATGGAAATGGATAACTTTTTTAACAATTGTGATCTGACTATGTTGGAAGACTGAGATTTAGAAAACATCTGGAAAAATCCTAGAGATAGAAGCTTTCTGAATTCCTACAACAGAGTCCGGCTTGTGCCACATTTTGAAGGGTTAGTTTTCAGCCTGGCTGAGATTGGGTGACAGTATTTACAAGAGCCTAAAATTCTGAACATACATATGCTTTCCTATAAGAGCCATGTTATTTTCCACTCAATTGAAAAAAAATTTCAATAGGCAGCAATTCATGTGAATGTGGCAAGCAGTTGTTTTTCTAAATTTTATATTTGGAGATGAGGGGAAATGATTTCTGTTCCTGTACATGATGCTAAATTGCTTGATCACTGATGTTCCGGGAGTTTTCCCCTGTATAACTTGTGCTTTACTGTTTGGAAAGAGCAGAAACAAGATTTTTTTTTTTTTTAGATGGAGCCTCACTCTGTTGCCCAGGCTGGAGTGCCTCCCAGGTTCCAGCAATTCTCCTTCCTCAGCTTCCTGAGTAGCTGAGATTACAGGAGCACATCACAGCACTGACTAATTTGTGTATTTCTAGTAGAGATGGGATTTCACCATGTTGGCCAGGCTGGTTTTGAACTCCTGACCTCAGGTGATCTGCTCACCTCAGCTCCTAAAATGCTGGGATTACAGGTATGAGATATTACACTTGGCCAGAATCACGATTAATGTTATGACAGGGAAATGGTTCTTCTCACAATTCTACAAAGGGCTGATCTGAACTCTTTATTTCTCAAGCTATAAATTATTGGGTTGAACAATGGAGTTACAATAATGTAGGATACTGATATTAGAGCATCCTGTCTTGAGAAGTAGTCGAACTGAGGCCTTAAGTAGATAAAGGAGGCGCAGCCATAGTGGACAGTGACAATAATGAGGTGAGATGCACAGGTGGAAAAAGCTTTGCACCTACCCAATGTGGAAGGAAACTGAAGTATGGCAGAGACAATGTAAACGTAGGATACCAAGATCAACAATAAGGGGATAGCCAGGACCAGTGTACAAAGCATGAAGATGACAATCTGACTAAAGTGGTTATGGTAAGATGCCAGCTTAAGGACAGGAGAGATGTCACAGAAGAAGTGATGTAGTTGATTGGAGGAATGAAAGGGCAGGTAAAATACCAAGGATGTGATGATCTGTGCAACAGTGAAGCCACAGGCACAGGCAGCAGCCACTAGTCCCATACAAACCCCATGTCCCATGAGCACTGAGTAGCGCAGTGGGTTACAAATGGCCACATAACGATCATAACCCATGACTGCCAGCAGGAAGGAGTGAGAACAGCCAAGGAAGAGGAAGGAAAACATTTGGATGGCACAACCCATGAAAGAAATGGTCTTCTTCTGGGCCAGCAGGTCAACCAGCATCTTGGGTACAATGATGAAGGTGTAGCAAGTCTCAGAGCAGGAGAGGATGGCAAGGAAGAAGTACATGGGGGTGTGAAGGGCTCTATCCAGCACAATGGTGGAAAGGATGATTGCATTGGTGCCCAGAGTGAACAGGTAGAGGAGCAGGAAGGTAACAAAGAGCAACTGCTGCAGCCTGGCCAGGGATGAGAAGCCGAGGAAGACGAACTCTCTCACCACAGTCTCATTGACCCGCTCCATAGAGCATACATCATCAAGAGATAATTCGGGAGAGGAGTTAGCACCAAAGGAAATCCCTGAAAATTAGTAGATTCAGAAAAAATTGATCATTAGCATGTGTTCTTAGATTTTGAGTTATAAACTCATGTTTTCAGGCCGGGTGCGGTGGCTCACGCCTGTAATCCCAGCATTTTGGGAGGCCGAGGCAGGTGGATCACTAGGTCAAGAGATCGAGACCATCCTGGTCAACATGGTGAAACCCCGTCTCTACTAAAATTACAAAAAAATTAGCTGGGCATGGTGGCACGTGCCTGTAATCCCAGCTACTCGGGAGGCTGAGGCAGGAGAATTGCCTGAACCCAGGAGGCAGAAGTTGCGGTGAGCCAAGATAGCACCATTGCACTCCAGCCTGGGTAACAAGAGTGAAACTCCGTCTCAAAAAAAAAAAAGAACTCATCTTTTCTCCTCCCTCCTGTATTTCTAAGACATGATGTTGCTAAAATCAGGCAAGCATTCATCAAACTTTGAGACTCCATAGTATTTCTAAAACCATAGCCAAAAAGTTCTTGTTGCTTTTCAGATTCAAACAACCCTTCCACTCCCACGGTGAGGCTGTTACTCAGATTCTTAGCCTCTCACTCTTAGATTATCTTAACAGTACTTGTCCTTTTCGCTTTCTCATATCCATATTCTCTCAAAAAAAAAAAAATCTTCCCTGCAGTTGCAAAGTAAACCATCTGAATATACCACACTTATCTCTAACTCACTAATCCTCAACAGTTCTTAGTTGTCATTCTCCTTACATCTAAACTCCCACCCTTAGTTTTAATCTCTCCATAACGTAGACTCAAATTCTCTTCAATGCTGTTTTCCTTACCTCCTGGTAGGAATCATCAGCTAGACTTTCATTATGCTGGCTCTTGCCTCTGTAGCTTTATTCTGCTTCCAAAGTGGAAAAAATATTTCTTCTTCTACTTTCTATTCATTAATTTCAAGATGGAATATGTCTATACGTTCTCCAATACCTATATCAGAGTCTTTACTCTAGCAGGAAGGACCACAGTCTTTCTTCAGGATTCTGTCTGTTTTCATCACTTTCCTTAACTCCTTCCGAAGTCATATTATGGCTACTTTCCCATGACCACTCTTACGTCTCTGCAACCCTTCTTTCCCCTGATGACAGATGAAGCTTTTAAAATATAAATCGTATTACATTGCTTCGCTCTTCACTGTTGCCCGCCTATGTTCTATACTTCCTTGTCTCTATTCCTTGCTCATATTAGTTTGTTACTCACTTTTATTTACAGATATTTTATTGTTCTTCTGAAGTCTCCATTAAATCTACCTTTTTGAAAGCTTGCTTGCTACCTCCTGGTGAAAGGAGTTGTTTCTTCCTCAGAACTCACATAAGACATTAATAGCCAAATTTATGTGGTGTTTATCTAATTTTGAAATATGGTAATGAATTATTCTTATATCTATTTTCTCCACTAGATTTTGTACCTTTGAGGAAAAGATATGAATTGTATGTATCTTTGCCTGAGTTCTCCTAAGCATCTAGAACCATATTAAGTACTACATACCTTCTCAATAAACAATTGTTATATAAATAAGAGAATTAACTTGCACATTATCTATTTTATTCATGGCCAACACAGACTTCTTAGAATCACAGAGTAAGAGAATTCTCAGTGTTACCTCATTCTAGGCATAAGGATTGCTCAGTATCAAGAATACTAACAATGTCTGTACCACATAAAACTAAGTCTGGTCCATTGAAACCCGAAAGAGAAATCTCAGTTTACAATAGAAAACTGTCACTGAAGAGAGCACCCAATCATCAGAATTCTGTGTTCTTAGGATGATTCCCAATTCCTAGTAAATTTGCTGCTCTTTAGAGAATACTAGGATGCAAACAAGTGAGAGAAAAATCAAAGACAACCTTACAATTATCCCGTTTAAAAATATATTTTTAAAATTACCTTAACTAATATTAATAACAAAATCAATAATGATACATCTTTATGTTATCTGAGAACCGCCAAATCAAGAATATCAGATGATACACAAGTATTAAGCGTGTGATTATAACAATGTGTCAGCCACTAGGTCTGCAATGAAGATACACATTTAAATAAGACCCAGTCCCAAGCCTCAAGTTCTTTATGTTTCAAGGGTGAGACACATTCAGAGGAAGACATTATTTAAAAATGTGGTGATTGAGATGATAGATATGTATTTGAAATTATAGGAGCACTCAGGAGACAAATCTTGTATATATCCTTGAAAAATAATATGTATTTATTACTTACTTCTGCATTTCTTTACTTATGAAGAGGCTGAATTAAAGTGTACTTGGCAAAATATCATAACATGGGTACTATTCAGTTTCTAAAACTTTTAATCTAAATATATAAATAGGGCAAGTAAGTACATTTGCTTCTCCTTGCTTCTAGAAGAGTGCAAGGATGTTTTCTGCTTGCATATTCTACTTTATATCACACTCTCCCCCACCCCCATGGAAGGAACAAATACCTTCCTCTTGCTCTATTTTATTCCTCTGGTTCTTTGCCCAATGTCTAGCACAAGGTTTTTTTATTGCCTAGGTGGTTGGCATACTTATTACTAATATACAATTAACTTTCAAATTCTATATTCTCTAGTTTTTAGTACTACTAATAAATTTCTACACATATAATTTGAAATTTTACTCTCACAAGCACATGTAAAGTTGAGTAATGCAGGAATCAAATAGGCTTTAAATTTAGACAGATGTAGGCTCTAATCCTGACTCTGGAAAGTTCTAGTGGTAAAACCTTAATAAACTCCCTAAGGCCTATTTTCTCATTTGTATGGTAAGAGTAATTCCTGCCTCCTGGGCTATCATGAGAATTAATTCAGGTAATATATATGAAAGAGATTTGTTCCACAAATAAGGAGTTCTTAATAAGCACTTTTATTGCTCTATTGTTGTTTTATAGGTATTGGTGTCAGCAGCATTTTCATCAGTGAGGTAATAAGCATTTAACTCATGGCAAGTTATTGAATCAGATTTTTTCTGTACTTTCTCAGAAAGAGAAGATTTAAGAGAAATTATTCTTCCCTTGAGGCTCTCCAAACCTGACAGAAAGTAACTTGGCTTTTGATGGAGATCTGTTTTGCTCTTGGAGGGAGACCATAAATATTTAGGTATCAATCTCAACAATTTATTGAGTTGCTAAAGACTGGTGCACATTGTCCAACAATTCTCATATTATTTCATGATTTCTATTACTATCTAAGCACTATACATATAAATATGAATAAAATCATTGCCCCTTTCTCAGAGAAGAATCAAACACCTGCCCATATTACAAAACAGCCTACAAACATTATAAAATAAGTGTAAATAAGATGTCCTAAAAATCTTGAGGGAAAACTTAGGAGAGGCTTTGAAGAACAAGTAGTATTTGAATTTCACCTGTAAGAATTTTAATAAAAATACTGGCTGAGTCTAAAGGACATTATTTATTCTGGATAGTTTGATTCGACTAATAAAGCTTTTCTTTAATGTTGATTGGCCTTTCAGGATTTAAAAAAATCCTACTGTTTGACTTTTTTATGCAGACACACAGAAACATCCCATTTATAAAGCAAAAATGTAAGTTTACAAAGGCTCATGAAACAAGAGACACTGATTATTCTCCCTTTTCTCTTCTGTTTCCTTACAATAAACTTCATGTTGAGGTCACAAACTCAAAAAGCAAACCAGTAGACAAAAGAAACAAGTAGCAAATAAGGAAACAAAAACAAACGACAAGTAGAGAAAAACAAAGAAAAATAAACTCAAGATTTTTTGGGAGCATCATTGCACTGTATCAGTCTATCATTGCTTTTGGTGTTTCCAGGAAGAAAAAATAGAACACAATTTTGATACCAGTTTATTAACCACAGTTTAGAATGATCTTGTAGACATGTAAGGCAAGTTGGCGTTTATTTAAACATGCTCTCTCTATGTTCTATATTTGGTGAAGATACTGTTGTATGCAATCTCTCATTTAGCCCTCACAACACCCTTATGAAGTAGTTATTACTTTTAATATCTCCATTATACAGATAAGAGATTTGAGAGTAAGAGTTTGGGGACTCCCCTTAAGTTCACACAGCTGGTGGAACCAACACTGGACTACAGTATAATCCGTGTGCGTGTGTGTGTGTGTGTGTGTGTTGTGTGGTGAGAAAGTGAAAGCAGTATTCAGACACTCTCCTTCCAAATAAAGCCATTTAAAGGAAAAGACTGCTCTAATTTTGTCATGGGCTCAGTTTTCAACTTTGCTATGTATTAGCTACAGGACTTTGCTGTGTCTGAATCAATTTCTCATCCTTGCAATGGGGTTCATTCTGATTTCAGCTAACCTAACTTTCAAGATTTCTTTAAAGTGGATGAGATAATGCTTTTGCAATGGTTGAGTGGTTTTACAGATATTATTTATATAAGTTTAACTTGGAATTGAAAAGGGGCAGAGAGGGTGGCTAGTTTTGAGAACATACCTTTCACACTGCCTCCTGTATTTTAGTTTCGGGATGGATTTAATAAAATAAAAATAATTTCACTTCTCAGGACTGGGAAAGGTATGCTGCAGTAGTTCTTGTCTCTTACTCAAGAGATTTCCAGAAAGCCAGAGTCATAGTTACAGCTGTATATGGTCTTAAAGATATAGCCTAGTAGTTTCATTGGACAGATAGGGCAATTGAGCTTCAGAGAGTGCCATGAAGTTTCCAAAACTAGAAAGGGACTGAGTAAATGTGTTAACAACAGAACAGAGGTTTTTACTCTTTCAGAAGAATGTGATTTCCATACTATTATCCTGCCTTCTGAAGACATTTATTTCATTGATAATTACTTTCTCTTTTTTGTCAGCAGTTACTTACTGTGTTCTTTTCCTGAGTCTGTGTTTGTGCTGGTGTTTCTACCTGTTTCTGTTTTTGGGTTCCCAGAAGGCAGGGTTTCTTAGTCTTCTTTTTTGAGATGGAGTTTTGCT